TCGGAGGGGAGAGACGCGGAGCGTGCGGGAGAAGCGACCTCGGGCGCGGGTTTGGGTGGGCTCCGCGCGCGCGGGGATGCGCGGGGGGAGCCCCAGCAGCGCCGGGCCGCGTCGCGCCTTGCCCCGCAGCCCTGCCACGAGTGTGCGGGGACAGGGCAGCGTGTGTGGGGACAGGGCAGGGTGCGCGGGGCGGCTGCGGCACCCGCTGCTCCGAAGGGCCTCCCTAGAAACGCGCCCTGCTTGGGGAGCACGGCCTGCTGCACGAGGCCATTTTGACGGTATACATCTTGCCAAACGGCAAGGTTCTATGCCTTTTAAGAAGGAAAAACTTCCAAGACACTTGTTGTTCTAGAAAACCCACCCCAAAATACTATGTCAAGACACGTGGGGATACACAGAGGTCGGAGACTGCTTTGCAGTAGCCTTTGCGTATACGTCTGCTCTACCCACAAGCTTGAAGGGTTTCGTATGAGATATCCAGCAGTTTGTCCTGAGTGGCAGTTTACTAAGCACCTGTCCTTTGGAAATGCCCAAGTCGGGTGCACGTTTATGGTACGAGGCCTCAAAAAGCCAACCTGGAACACGGGCGGTGTCTTTGGCCAACGCTCCAGGGTAGCGAGGGTTGTTTTGGTAGGACTGGCTATCAGTGTGTACATAGGAGTTCTCACAGTTATTTTCAAGAGCAAACACTGCTTAACTTTGTGAATTATTACAGCCCTGAAACAGAGAAAGCTAAACCTCCTCTTGTAGCAGGTGTCTAGAGTACCTCAGGAAGAGAACAGTCACTTTCCATTCTGAAAATTTCAGTTTTTGTGGAGGGAAATAGTACTTTATAACATTAAGTTAGTCAATGCCATGGTATGAACAGGGTTTGTTTAGTGTGTGAATATGTCACTCTTTACACTCCTGCCTTAACCTGTAAAGGTGCAGAGCATTTGACTGATGAATTATCCGCTCAAAGCTGTGTGATGGGTGTTAAGAAGAAGAAATAATGTATATTTTTGGTTAGGCTTTACTAGGAACTATGATTTTCAAGGCACAAATTTTGAGCTTTAGATTTAAAGAGCTGGATTATTTATATGTGCTTGACACAGGCAGCTCACTTGCTCCTAGGTTTGCCCCTAAAATGCTGAGTTTGAGAGATCTTCTCAAAGTCAGAAGTAGGGAGCTTAAACTCGCGTGGTGCTTGAGGGAGCCAGGATTACTTAAGTAAGATACGTAGGTCATGCAAACTTAATGTTAAGTACAGCTTGCAAGGTAAGGAGACGTTGTTCACTTGGGTGTGTTGGCGTGGATGTCATTACAACTTTAACTTATAGCCCCACCCAAATTTGACATTCATGGTTAGGCAGGAACTTATTTAAAAAGGATTAAAATTGGGAATCTTTAATTTGAAAGAAAACTTACATTTTTTTCGAGGCAGTCTGTGGCTTGGTTAATTTTTTGTCGTTGTGTTTTTGTTTTTTTCCTAAACACTGGAAAAACAGTGATTTAAGGATGGAGTTATGTGTTCATCCAGGTCTTTTTAAAGAGCAGCAGATGAGCATTTTGGAAGATAAATACAGTTTGCTTGTCCATTCAAGTTCTTCCTTCAAATGTCTTAGTGAAGTAGATGGTACCATAAGAAGCAGTTATTCTAAAATAAATGAAAAATGAAGGGAAGGTGTATAGGAAGAGAGGGAAAACTGTATAATTTGGGTGGAATTGAAGGAGGAGAGAGAGGGGGTTAGCTGTGTAATTCACAGCTAGTGAGGTTATTTTTGGTGAGCCTGTGCTGGATGGTGAGTTTGGAGTGTGGGTTAATGCATCACCCAGGAACTGATCAGAGCCTATGGCACCAGGTCCCTTATTCTTTTGGGTGCAAATAACACCTGTCTGGGCAAAAGGACAGTCTTGTAGGAGCACACCCTGGCCTAGCTGGTCACTGCTGGCCAAAAAAGTTTTAGGAGGGCACAGTAGAATGGAACAGGGGATTTTCGTAGGGATTTAGATCTCTGGTGGAGATACTGGGTTAATTTTAGTGCACACTCAAGTAAAGGACACCTTCTACCTGCCAGAACTTTTTACAGAAAAATAATTCTAGCTTAACTTGTTCCTTCCTTTAGAATTAGCCTTACAATTTTAACACAGATTATGCATGAGTTGTGCATTGGTCATGAGTTTAGTACATGGTATTCGGTACTGTATTGTAAGAGCTGCACTTGAGTCAGGCGAGGCATAAAAACATGAATAGTTAAATGATCTACACTGTGTTTTAACATTTATTTTTAGGTTTTCTTAAAGTGCAAACTCAGATGATTTAGTCAGGAGGTGACTAAAATAAAAGCTTCAAGTCCAGCTTACGCTTGTCTTTCATTGTGCGATGATAGCAGTGGTATCTCTGGGTGAGCAGCTCCACATGCGGTTGATGTCTCGCCCCACGTTGCAGGGATAAGGCGCATTGGCAGGAGGCCTGATCAGCAGCAGCAGCAACAGCAGCAGCAGCCGCCGCAGCCGGGGGGGCCGCGTGCGGGGGGACCCGCGGGCCGCGGCCGCCTCGCGAGCGCCGCTTCGAGAAACCGGCGGAGGAGAAAGGCGAAGGAGGAGAGTTCTCTGTTGACAAGTAAGAGCTTTGTCTTGCAGATGTCCTCTGATTCTCTTCTAGAGAGAGGTGGTCCTTGCTTCTTCTGCTAAGTTAGAGAAGTGATCCCTGAGCTAACTGTAATTAGAACAAGTTTGGGGTATCGATATCTTCATTCAAAAGCATTGGTCATTCAAAATAGAATACTTCTGTCTTGAAGTATGTTTTCCTTTATATTCAATAATCAGTTTTAGGCCAGGAATGATTTAACGTGGGAACAGTTCTATTGGCTTAACTAAATGTGACTTAAATCAGTAAAATGTCCTTCAGAGGCGCTTATGTTTCTCTAAATCAGAAAAGGAAATCAAATGTAGCTCTTCGCTGCCGGGTGAAAGCTGGTAGTTGTTGCAGCTGCTACAATATACAGCTGATTTCGAGCCTTCAGAGGTTGTCTGTGAAGGTGCTTTTGCCTTCTCAGTTACAGTGACAGACTTGAAATCTATGGTGGAACAGTCAGCTTTACATCTAGGCAAGGCCTCAGTAGTCAGAGTATTGTGCGGATTCCAGATATGGTATTCTGCATGGAATATTCACCAATATAATCTGGAAAAAAGTTGTAAAAGTTGAAATTCTTTTAGAGGTAAGTTGTGTGATTGTAGGTTAAACTGAAATATGTGGTATTAGCTAGGGATGTAATACAATACAAACAACAGTGCATTTTGCAGTATCAGAGTATGCAAACCAGTGATAATCAAAACAGCTTCAAGACTCTAAAATTTAGTTATATATGTATATTAAATGTATTAATTTGGCATTGAAACTCTTCCAATGTAATACAATACAAACAACACTGCATTTTGCAATATAAGAGTATGCAAACCAATGATAATCAAAACATCAGCTTCGAGACTCTAAAATGTAGTTATATATGTATATTAAGTGTATTAATTTGGCATTGAAACTCTTCCTGAAATAGTTTCCTAAAAGATTTCTGAAATAATTAAACACGACACTTTTCTATGGTTGAAAAGAGGGAATAAGAAACCTTGAAAGCCATGCTGCATGTGTATATGTATATATTTTTCTGAAATAAAATACTCACATGTATCCGTTCTATATGTTAGACCTATTATTGACCGACCTATGCGTGGACGTGGTGGACTCGGAAGAGGACGTGGACGTGGCCGTGGAATGGGCAGAGGAGATGGGTTTGACTCTCGTGGCAAACGTGAATTTGACAGACATAGTGGCAGCGATAGATCGTAAGTCTTTGACTTTTTTCTAGTGCTTTTTTGGCTATTCTTTACAATTAATATATATTTAAAATTTTGCCTTTGAATTTCTGTATCTGGACACTATAATGTTAACTCAGTTTTGTTAGTTCTGTTTCACATTCACATTTCAGCGGCCTAAAGCACGAGGACAAGCGTGGTGGCAGTGGATCACACAACTGGGGAACCGTCAAAGACGAACTAACGTTAGTAATCTGTAATTGCTCAGAAAACTATTAGCAAATCTTTGCTTTTATGGTTAACAAAACATATTTAGCTGCTTTTTGGGGTTTTGGTAACTTCTAATTATGCAATTAAAGAAGCCCTTGACTACAGAGTTTTGGAATCTACTGTAGTATCTCCTTGGTAATGTGGCTTCATTCTTAAAACCAAAATTTGGGGGCAGGTTGGAATGAGGGACTTACGCTACTTTTGAACAATCCTTGCTAGTAAAAATCTTTTACTAAAACTTAAATGATTCTTAGTTTTAGCAAGATTGATTGGATTAAGCATGCGTGTTTGTTTTTTTCATCCAAGTATTGTATTGAAAATAGTACTTTTAATTCCCAAGTCCATTCTCTGTCTTGGGGACAAAGGGAGAACTAGAACTAGAACGTGGTGGGGAAAACTGTTAGGAAAGTGGAAATCATAGCATTTAAGAGGAAGGGAAAACATTACTCTTTACAAAATTATTTCATCAAAAATATTTCAGAACTGCGTACTTGTTAGAGAATTCAGCCATTAACTTTGTATGTGTTTTTAAACAGTGATGAAGTATTTTTTTTGAGAGAGAGAACCCCAAACACTTTCTATTTGCAGTGAATTGGATCAGTCGGCTGTAACTGAGGAAACGCCAGAAGGAGAAGAACATCCACCTGCTGATTCTGAAAACAAGTGAGTACAACCCCTTACAAAATGTCCTTTGATTACTTCAAAGGTAGTAGTATGTTTCCTTTAATTTCTGATATTCATTCCTACTCCGGTATTGCTCTGTTTGGGTTGTATTTTCTCCAGTAGATACAAAATTGTCCCCTGTGCTACTGAAAAGCTGGCTGGTTAAACCAGGCCTTGTGCACAGTGCTATCTTGGCACTGTTTATTAGTGTCACAGAAGCTCTTAGGTTACTGTCAGATTCAGCTATCTAATAATTAGATCCATTTTACTTAGGATTTCTGGATTACAGCTGTCAATAATAATCTAAAACCAGCCTTGCCCATAATTAGGTAGAACAACTGCTCTCCTGCCAGTAGGAGGCATTTCTCTTGAAACTTAGTGCTTTCCAAAACAGCTGCGTTGAGACTATGCAACTAGTCTGTAGAGAAAAGCTTCATCTCTTCCTTCCAGTCTCCAATTTCTGTGTATGCAGTGAATTTTCAAACTTGATGGCTTTTAATTCTCCTTGGACACCATTGCTGATGAAATCAGTGACTCTGATGAATGAAACAAATTTTAGAATAGCAAGTTGAGCAGTAGGGACGCTTGCGGCTGACTGAAAACACAATAGGAATTTCTATGGTAGTTCTCTACCATATTTTTTTCTTTTTGAGTATTTTTTTTTCTGAAGGATTCAAAGGAAAATGACAACAAATTGGAGAGACTGAAATACTTGTTTACAGCTTTTTAATGTGGAGTCCTGTATTGCTTGGTTTCCTTCTTCACAACTTATTCTCTGTAAAGAGAGGACAGTCATTGAATAGAGAATTAGAAATAAATTTAGGTTAATATAAAGAAGAGTAAATGCTGTTACTTGCTTCAAGGTCATAGAGAGCCAAGGTCATCTTGCAGATAGAACTTTTTCTTTTAAAGGAGCATGAGGACCTTCAAAGAATTACAGCTTGAGCATTGGTCAGAAAATGAAGGATTGTTAACCTTCAATAAATTACATATAACCAAAAAATTTGATATATGAAGTTTGCTGTGTATTCAGTACTACTTGGGTCTTTTTAAGATTCAGGTGCTGGTATTTGACCAGTTCTTGGCCTACCCATGTGCAGCTCTGTTAGTTATCTGCAGGCTATTGTGGTGGTGATGGTGGTGGCTTTTCTTCTCCCACCCTTCTTATCTGCCTCAAATTTTCAGACAATGTATAATCTTCTGAGTGTCAAGCTCAGCACTTTCTAACATCAGTTCTGTTTTTAGAGAAATGAAGCACCTTTATGTGGGTTAATTCTGAAGCTGGCTATGTTGGTGCAGTTTAATTTTTTCAGTAGAACCATCGGATGCTTTACTATATATAGTTAAAAAGTATAGTAAAATATGCAGTCTATGCCCCAAGCAATACACTTTTTAAATATATAGCTTGTCAAAAATGGTTCTGTACTATAAAGTAAGAAAAGCTTGCAATTCTGCTTATAATAATTTTGAGATGAAAAACCTCTGAGCTACCATACCAAAAGTAATGGCTACAGAATGGAAGCAATTTCTCTTTAAGTTGGTGCTGACCTGATATTTTCACTGCACCTCCCAACACCAGCTTTCTACAGTGTCACAGCACCCTGTAAGTTGGAGTTTTACTTGCACAGACACACTGCGTGTAGAATGGCTAGAGGACTGATTGCCTGCCTGGCTGGAACATGATCTACTACACCATAGTTGTGTTTTGTATTTAAGCTAAAAATAGCCCTTGGCAGAAGCTAGGGATACTAAAATTTTACATTGGAGTGATGTAACTTAATCACTAAGGTCTTTGTAGTGACTTTTCCAAGCTATCGGAAAGGTTTTTGTTTGTTTGTTTTTTTAAAGAAAGGTGTTTGTTTGTTTGTTTTTTTAAGTTGCTACTTTTGCAATTCAGCAAAGAAGCAAACTATAAAAAGACTACTTTTGCGATTCAGCAAAGAAGCAAACTATAAAAAGTGTTTAAAAACTGATTTTAAACTATCAAGACTGAGAATTATGGTAGTAAGTGCTGAACTTGAAACTTGAGCGGGGAGTGAGGAATCTCAAAAAAAAGTTGTGAGGGTGGCAAAAAGCCTGCATGGGTCCATGGCACTCATATTTGCAGTGAAAATTGCCACTGCTGTGGAGAATAGACATCATGGGTCAATAACTTTGAAATTATACTGCACTGTGTTTTGTTTAAAGGTATCTGGCTGCGTTTTTTGCCACTGTGGCTAAAGATGATAAGTTTTTTGCGTGTGATTTTTAAGTGGTGGAATTGAGATGACTTTTTGCCTCTGAATGCTGAGTTTTTGACAAAAACGGTCTTTTATAATCCAGTGCTGATAAAACTTTTTTTGAATTTGCTATATGTAGAGCGTGAGCTCTAAGTCATGATCACAATATCCATGAATTTACTACAGAGAGAATGAGGTTGAAGAAGTTAAGGAAGAAGGTCCTAAAGAAATGACCCTGGATGAATGGAAAGCTATTCAAAGTAAGGATCGCGCAAAAGTTGAATTCAACATCCGTAAACCAAATGAGGGTGCTGATGGGCAATGGAAAAAAGGATTTGTTCTCCACAAGTCAAAGAGTGAGGAGGTAATACGATTTTTCAGTATTTGCTTGTGTACAGATTGTATAGGTTTTTTATATGCCAACTCTTCTTTGAGTGGGAGTTTCATTCTTGGCAAGGCTGAGCTGCCACTAAATGTTTATAATGCAGGAATAAGATTTTTGTTAATGAATTTGCGGTTAATGCAGGAGCGTAAGTAACAGCTTTTACTATGATTAGCCAGCACCTAATTGCTTAATCCTTAGGCTGGTGTATACCATGGTATAATCTAACCATAGAATTTAGACTCTGGGATGCTGCTGACTACAGTAGGTGACTTTATAAGGACTTTTTCTAGAGGAAAATGTCATTTGGTCAGTATGAAAATTATTTTTTTTTAAAGAAATCTTATGCTATTACCTTGTCTTATCACCAACTCATTCTGCTTGCTAAACACAGTGTAAGACCAAGGCGAAAATCAGTCAGGCCTTGGACACTGTAGCATTTAAAACAGCATATCTTATTTTGTAAGAGGTGTCTTTCTGGTCACTTGTATTGTACGGCTGAGTGTCTGGAAGTTTTTGAGAAAACGTCTGAAATCCGTTATACACTTCAGTAACAGTCACCATAGTTGCTATGAATCACTTCAACATTTCAGTTTCTCAAACACTTCTGTCATAAAATTGAATTATTCTGTTTTAAAACAGTGGGAGTTGTAAGGAGACAAATGCTTTTCCCTTCCAGAGGGAAGGGAGGTGCTGAGAGCCTCTTGATGCGCTGCTAGCAAGACTCAGCTTGCAAACTGTCACGAGCTTTGCATCATTGACACTCTGTACTATCTTAAATGGGCTACTGCTAAATAGGGGCCTAAAAATCTGTTTAGCAAATGATTCTAACTTTGACGTAAGTAATTGGTAGGTAATGTGCTGATTGGCTTTTCTAATGGATATTTTCTGCATTTCATTTTTATTTATTTGGAATCATGTGATGTAAAGGGGATGGCACTCTTCAGTATTCTCTTAAAAGGAGAACATAATTTCTGGTCTCGCTGAACTTGAGCTAGACTTCAAGCCACAGTCATGCCTTTCCATGCTTTACTGTGCAAGACACACAACCCTTGCAGAACTGTATTATCCTTCCATTTTCCTCAGTTTTGCTGCTCAGTTTTGGAAGCTTTCATTAAGTAACTGTTCATATAGGTTGTTGTGGAGGAGGGAATTCTTGATTGTTGTATATTAGAATAGCAGGTTTAAATAGCAGCATTTATCTACTTTGCTAATACTTGCTAAAGCTGAATTTCTGCAAGCACATTAGGAAATCCCACTACACAAACACAGCCCTCATCTTGATCTCGCTGAAGTATTTGGCATCTCCCCACTTTTTTTTTTCTTTTTTAGCTTATCTGAATACAGGATAGTGGCACTTTTGGGAGACTTGGAAGCTGGAAGGCTCTATGTTGTATTTTCCATGCAGAAAATGTACTGCTAATGCTAATGAACCAAAAAAGAGGGGGAGGATGAGAATAATCAAAAATAATCAAAATACTCTTTCAATTCAGAAGAACCGACACAATTAAGCTGAATTCACTTCCAAAATAGAACAATAATTTCTCTGAAGAAATTGAGTCAGATAACTTCTCATGTACTGTATTCAAGATAATTTAATCTCACTTCTGTGCTTAAGCAGTAAGGGATATTTGACGGTCTTTGAATCCAGCATTTTCTAGGTTATTTTGAGTTGTTTCATGTCCAGGCAATGTCTGTCCCTATCTTGCTTGTTCCCTGGTGCCCGGAGAGCAGCGCGTTTGGGGGCGGTTCTGAGGGCAGCGCTCCCTCCAGAGCAGCATCCTGAGAGCTCTCGGGTGGGGAAGGTGGGAGAATCAGCAGTTGGGAACAAGACCTCCCCTCTGTCCTTCCCTGCCTTGTCATCCTCGATAGCCTTCGAGTCCTCAAATAAAGGCAAGTTTTGGTGTATGAAATATTTCATACCTAGGCCAAAGGTTTCTGTTACTGATTACAAGAAGGAAGTTGGTAAATGGAAGTGTCCCAGGGAAAGTCTAGGTTTCTGCCCAAGATCTTCCATGCTGTTAGGGCTGGATTGTCAGTGTGTCCTGGTCCTTTGCCGGAGGAATCGAAGCGTCGTGGGGACCATCTTCCCTCCAGTAGACCCTGTCTGGGGCTCTTGGGGAATGAGCATCTTAGGGATCTGTGGGAGAGGGGGTAGGAGAGGATCTAGGGCTGTTCATCTGCCTTAGTCTTGTGAAAGGGCTGTCCTCCTCTGCTGTGTGCTTTCTTGACTGCTTTGAGGAGCAGAGTGCTTGACTCTGTCTTAGGTCTTCTCTTCTTTTTCCCTTTCGCTATACAATTACTGGAAAGTGGCACTTTCTTATAAAACCATCTCTTAATACCCTTTCATTCTTCTTGCCTTCATATGAAATCCACTGTGTATTGGCAGCCCTAGTTTGACAAGACTTCCCAGGAGATAGGGTTATGTCATATAATTTGCTTTTTTCTCTTCTCTCCAGCTGTAGTTTTGTGATTTGAATATTTTAACTTCTGCTGATACAGCTGAGCAAAAAGAAGAGAACTTAAATTGTTTAAATAGTTTGGGACAAGTCTCCTGGAAAGATTGGTATATTAGTAAGCGCGTTTCTACTTTGTGCGTCTGGTGTGCCTCCTCCCTGTGCCTCCAGGCTTCCTTGCTCATCTAATAATTTCCTTAGAGAGGAGGTTATGAAAGAAGGCTGAGAAATGCATTCTGGAAAATAGCAGTTCATCTCTCCAGCATTTGGAGCTGCAACTCTTGAATTCTGGCTGTGCAGAAACTCTTCCTCATTAACAGTAATTAAAAACCCTCCGTGTCTTTGCTCTCTGCGTGTGCCTGGCGTAGCGAGACGCTGGAGCTCGGCCTCCTGAGGAGCCTCTGCCAGCAGCTTGGGTCCACCTTGGCTAGCGCCGCTCCGGGCTCCCTCTTGCCTCCCGACCCGCTCCGGGCTCTCTTCCTTCTGGATGCTTGCACAACTGTGGATCTCATTCTTTTGCTGCTCCGTGTGCTCAGTGACATCTGTATCCAGCAAGTTCATGTGACCTTATTACCTGTTGTTTCTGTATGTAGTTGAGTCTCATTTCTTCCTTTTGTTTTCTCCCTTTGTTCCTTTTGTCACTTTGGCGTGGACACGCAACTTTCATCAGACAAAGGCGATGACAGAAATGCAGGGGAGTCTGCTGGAATCAAATGAGGTACTGATCCTTTATATCTAACTGGCGATATCTGTGTTTTAATGTGGTCTCCTCCAGAATTCAAAATCTTGATACTAAGAAGTCACAAAATAGAGAATATAAGTAGATATGAGATGGAGCTCTTCTGTCCATGCCTGTTGTCTAACTGTGCACCATGCAGGATCTTTCATAACTAGTTCCCTTGCTCCTAATTTGTCTGGATTGAAACCTGCTCATCACAAATGCTTCGATCGTGACTCTTTACCAGGTGTTAGATCAGAGAGCTATTGAGAGGTGCTAATACAAATACATTTTTAAAGTTGGAAGATGATGCAGAACAAGCAATTTGATGTGCCCGTGATTATATTTTACCACTGAACGATAGGAGGAGAAGGAGTGTTCTGAATCTTGTGTTACTGTTTCAAACTAGCTTAGGTTCTTTTGGGCAAGGACATTATCTTTGTATGCACAGGGTTTTGTTGGGTTAGTGGTTAAATGATGTTAAATTGTTGAACTAGAATGATTTTTGATAGACTGTAGGTTCTCCTCTATCCTTCCTCCCCATCTTCCTCCACAACCCCCAGCAGTAATAATGTAGGAAGGAATGCAGAGTTTCTTGTACAAAGCCACTGCTAGAACCACTCGGGGAAAAAATATATAAACACCAGCATGTTGCAAATAGCATCTCAGTACCCAGGGAATAGTTAAAACAGCAGATAAACTATTAGGTGGCAGAAAAGAAATGAAAAACCCATAACGGTTCCTGTTCCAGATTGTCGTGTCCTTGTGTTAGAACACTTTGTAGCTTGGCAGACCTTCCTCTGAGCACCAAGGTCACTTCCTGCGCTTAGAAGGGAGCTCTGCAAAGGAAAGAGCAGTTTGGTCTGTGAGTGAGGGACGGGATGGGGAGCAGTGATCGCCGGGATGCGAGATCCGTGCCGGGGAGGTGGGAAGCGGCAGGGGAGCAGCTCCCAGCGCCGCGGCTGTGGGGCATCCACCGAGGGAGCGGGAGGGCAGGGGGGCTGTCATTGCACACTGTGGTGCCCGTGAAAGTCAGTGTATTGTGAAATTAGACCACAAGAAAAGTAAGTTTTAGTCAGTGAGCTGAGGTCCGTACCGTTTCCAAGCTTACGCAGGACAGGGCGAGGAGCCTGTGAGCAGCTGGCGGGCGGCTGCTGCGGGAAGGGAAGCGCTGGCGGGCGGGCGGCTGCCCCCCAGCAGCTCCCCAGGGCTGCCAGAGCCCTCGGCCTGCTCCGCGGCAGGCGGTTGTACACTGCCAACCACCGCAGGGGGCCGTAGTGGGGCCATACGGAAAACTCTTAGGTGTGCAAAGTGAGAAATAACAGCCTTGCGTGTGTTGGGTGTGTGATGGATTGCAAGACACGGCTCTGTGCGAGTAGCGCTCGGTGTCAGGAGCGGTTCTGGGCGCCCGCTTGCTCTGAGGCCCGTGTGTCTCACTGGGTGCCCTGCGCTCGCTGCACGGGGCCCTGGATCATGGCCAGGGTGGTGGCAGGGAGGGCCGTGGCCGGGCGGCTCCTGGAGGCCGCCTCCCCGCTGCCCCAGTTCGTGGCTTCTGCTCGCGCCTCGCTCACCATCTGCTCTGCCTGATGCACTCCAGCAACAGGTTCTTTCTCTCCCTTGTTTTAAATACTATACAAAACTAAGCAAATGAAATGTAAAATAATCACTGAGCAAGGTGAAGATTCATTACAGAGAATGTGTTTAGGGAAAAAATGAGAATTTATAGAGCAGGGAGATTTTTAGGCTGGGATGTGGGAAGAGAAAACTAAGAAATGAGGTTCTGTATTGGCTTGAAGACAGTCAGTTTGGTCTGAAAGGAACCTGGACTTGTTCCTCTGCAGGAACTCTCGAACTTCCCAAGGTTACCTTGGCAATGCAGAATAACTTCATCAGCTTGAGGGCTTAAATTTAACGTCCTTTCAGTGAAGATTTACTTACTAGTCTGCTTGTGTCCTCCTTAGAGATGGTGTAACTTGGTTTGTGAAAGTTGCCCTGGTGTTTGCCTGAACGCAGGTAAACGCAGGGTGCATTTGGAGGTGAACATGCAGGCACTGCTGCTGAGAGGGCAGCTGTGCGTTACAACTTTTTAAATAAATGGTGATTTTTGTTACTCATGGGAAAAATTATTAATCCTAGGCTCATGCTGAGGACTCGGTAATGGATCATCACTTCCGCAAACCGGCGAACGACATCACGTCCCAGCTGGAGATCAACTTCGGAGACCTGGGCCGCCCCGGCCGTGGCGGCCGAGGGGGCCGGGGTGGCCGAGGCCGCGGAGGCAGGGCCAGCCGCGGGAGCAGGACTGACAAGGTAACGAGGGCTCCTTGCCCCAGAGGGGTGCCTGGCTACCCAGGCTCGTGTCTGTCCTTTGGTGGTCTCAGCCGTCTGTCTTGTTTCTGGGGACAGCGCTCGGAAGACAAACGCTGCTTTTGAAAACCCAGTAAAACACTTGTTCTTATGAGCTTCGGGCAGCTGGGTTTGTGTTAGGGCAAAAGGACAAGTGTGTCCGTGGTGTGTTACCTGCAAAGGGGAAGGTGACGGATCAGTTGAATTTAAAAAAATGTGCCCATCTTCGGTGGTTGTGCTTAAATCCTAAAAGTGACTCTTTGCTCTGGACAAATCCGGATGTGCAGTGTCAGGAGTGTCCATTCTGGAGTGATGGTTTCAGATACGCTCGGGAGTCTATCTGCTTTGTGATCCCTCTGTTGGAGATCGCTTGGTTTAAGACCTCATGTTAGTCGCACATTTGAGGAATTTGTGGTTTTTAGGTGCAAATAGCGCTTTTGCTCCTTTTCCTAGTCTGCAGCATGTTTTTTTCCTTCCTCTAGTGCTAAAGCCCCAAGAAAGTGCTCAGGAAAAGTCCTGCACTGAGAGGGGGATTGTAAAACTGAAATAACAGAATCCGTCTGCACCCAGGATTTGATTTAGTATGAGATACTCAGCTTAAAACGTGTCTATTCAAATTGTTACTCATGTGAAAAGAGTTTGGTCCGTGGTGTGACTTTTTTCACCTATGCCAGATTTTTTGGCTCATTTAATTCTCTTGTAGAGCACAGACTTTTTCTCCTTGTACTGGATTGTCCTAAATTTTACACTCCTTAGTTGGAACATTCTTCTCAGGAACATAAAGTAATGCATTGCGATTCTCATGCCGACTTTGTTTGTTTCCTTGCAGTTGGTGAAGGAGTTTGACGTGATCCACACGCCCAACCAGGTTGGTGCCGGCTGCGCGCGGGCGCTGGGGAGGGCTGCCCCGCTCTGCCCCGAGAGCCTGGCCGCTCCGCTCTGGTGCGGGCGGGTGCTTGCCCGCTGTCAGCTCTGCCTTTGGGTGGTGATGGGGCTGTGTTGGAGCGGTGCACATCTCTCCCTCCTGACAAACGCGGATGTTTTGAGGAGCTGCTGCTTCCCTGGCTGCTCCGCGCTCCCGCATCCCTCCTGCACAAGAGGGGGTTACGCTGTTTGCTGTGGTTCAGCCCTGACCTGGTGCTCAGGGCAGTCCTGAGCCACCTTCAGGGCTGCCTTAGGGAGGCACCACTCCCCCTTTTGGTTAGTGCGTGTGAATTTGTAGTCAGAAGTCGGCACCAAAAAGTCTTTTCCAATTTCCAAAGTACTTGCTAATAAAACCTGAAATGGGCGAAACTTGGTGTTTCCTCTGAACAGGCCTTTTGGTACCACTTTTCAGCCATGCCCCTTGGTAAGAGTTGACGGGGACTTTGCAAGGATGGCAAAACAGGCGCTTGTGAGCAGCTGGTGCTGTAGTCGTGTGCAGACATGTTTGTTGGCAGCATCTGCTCAGGCAGCTTTACCTAAAGGGCTCCAGCGTTGCGGAAGGCTTCCTGGGCACAGGAATGAAAAGCCCTCCCTTGCCCGCGCTGGACAAGCGTTGCTGCTCCGTGCCCGCCGGGCGGCGCTTCCCATGGCGTCCTTGGAGGGGACGCTGCTCCCGAGCAGGGCCCGGCTTGAGCTGGGTACCGGGCGGGCCTCGCGCTGCTAACGCCTCTCTGCCGCTTCTCTTGCAGTCGAGCGCTTCTGCTCCCGATGTAGACGACCCAGAGGCTTTCCCAGCGCTGTCCTAAACTGGATGTCATAAGCCAACCCTGCCCTCACTGGGCCTTCCTCTCCGAGGCTTGCATGCTTAAGGATCCTAAACAACTAAGAAATTAAAAAAAAAAAAAAAAGAGACTGTCATTCATACCATTCACACCTAAAGACTGAATTTTATCTGTTTTGAAAATGAACTTCTCTCGCTACACAGAAGCAACAATATGGTAGTCAGTTTTGTATTTAGAAATGTAATGGTAGCAGGGATGTTTTCATAATTTTTTCAGAGATTATGCATTCTTCATGGATACTTTTTTGTATTGCTGCTTGAAAATATGCGTTTCCAAACTTGAAATATAGGTGTGAACAGTGTGTACCAGTTAAAAGCTTTCACTTCATTTGTGTTTTTAATTCAGGATTTTAGACGTTTTCCCCAAACAACAAACTGGTTTTTAGTTATTGCTGCACACTATTTCTGTTTCCATAACACCTATTTAGGAGATTTTTATCAGCCCATGGTCTTTTGGAATATGTAAAGTTTAATTTGGCAAACTGTTAGTACTGTGTGGAATACTAACTCCTGGAAATATTTTAATTTAGTTTTAATCCTTAATTTCCAACTTGGAAAAACAGTCATTTTTCATCTATGTTTGGTAGTTTGTTTACACAAAATCTTTATACAAAATTGATATCAAATACTTGAAAAAAAATATTCAAAGCACATTGGTTTATAGTTAAATACCTGTGTAATGATCCAGCAGTGATGTGTGGATAATTGGTCTAAACAGTTTTTTTAAATTCTGTATTACACCTCTCACTCGCCCTTTTTACCTTTATTCCCTCCTCCCTACAACAAACCTAGATGCTTTGTTGGCAAAAAAAACAAAGAGTTTTTAAGTTACTTCCGCTTTTTCTTTGCGAGGGCCCTGCTGGCGGGAGGCCGCTCCGGGGCCGGCGCCGCGTGCGGGGAGGCGCCGGGCAGCCCGGTGCTTCCTGCCCCTCCGGAGCTTGTCCTGGGGCTCTGCTTGGGAGCCAACACGTGAATGTTGTGAGAAACCCTTTACACTCCTGTAGAAATTTGCCCTAGGTTTAATGTAACCCCTGGGAGCGGGACTGGGACCACTGCAGTACACAAAAGGCGTTGAGAGAGTGACTAATGGAGAGGATTTCTTGAGAGTTTTTATCTGCAGCATTTGTTAGGAGCCTAGAAACAGGATTCTCATTTAATGTTTTACACTTTGAACAGCTTATAACATATTTGTAGTTTCTTAACTAGGTAGATAGAAAACAAATGGTAATGCCCTATTTTTTTACAAGCTGTACAGGACAGGCAAAAAGTACTGGAGACCTTTGACTATGAACTCCCAGCCTCCTTAACCGTGGTGTTGAGCTGGCTTGCTTTGTTTGAACTCTTTCCTATGCAGCTCCTTGTTGTGCACCCCTGTTAACACCTTGGATTGGAGGTCAGTGCGCGCGCCGGCGGGCTCGCAGGGCCGGGAGGAGGCTGCAGTTTCCCAGCTGGATGGTGATGGTCCCGCGGCAGCTCCCGGCCCCGCTGCCCCTTGAGACCCGCGTGCTCCACACGCAGGGACGAGTCGCGGCTTCGTGGCCGGGACGCCCTGGGTAACGCTCCTAACAAGGGCTGGAAAAGCTTTCCCTGTAACACAAACCTGCGCCCCACACGCCTGTGTTTGCTCTCTCTTGTCACGCAGCTCTGCTCTTCAGATTCCTTCTGGGCCGGCCTGGCCTGGGCAGGAGCTTCCCCTTTGTCGCCAGGTGCCGGAGCGGTCTCCTGAGCGGCACCTCGCACAATCACCAAGGGAGCTTGGGCAGGAAATTGGCTGTCTGCCCGTAGATGTAAATTTGCCTCTTTCAGTCCGTTTGTGTCAAGAACTAAAACTGTGAAGGTGAATCTTTAATATTGGTGGGTGTTAACTGAAATAAAGGTTTATTTTCATGCTCTTTTAAACTGTCCTGAGAACACGTGGACGTGGCTCTGCATGGTGAACAGGGCCCTGTCCAGGCACCTCCCATTGCAGCTTTGGGAGGTGCCTCCCTCCGAGGAGCTCCGTGTCAGCTCGGAGGGAGCTCGCTCTTCACTAGCAGCTCCTGTCCTGCTTGTGCTCTCACCACAGCCGGAGGACGAGGCCTTTTTAAAGCCAAATAATTCTGAAAAGAGGGTCAGAACAGAAAAAGGCGGAGAGATGGAGAGAAGCACTTAATGCCAATTGGCTAATGAATACAACGATAGCAGTGTTTGAGCATGAAAGTTCATCTTGCAGATCGAATGCCCCTGGCCCAGCGTGGGAACGAGACTGAGGGTGAATGTTGGCGTTGTCCTTAGGGAAAGGACACGAGCTCTGAGGAGAACTGAACCCCAGAGGTGGGTGTGAGTGCGGCTGAGCCTGCTCTTGCTGTAGTGCCTCTTGCTTGCAGCACGGCGTTTGCGTAGCCTTTTCTCTGTTTTAGTAAGTGCGGGACGTGCTTGAAGCTCTGCTGCTGCCAGCCTGTGCTGACCCGCTTCTCTGTACAGCCCCTGAGGCCTCGGCGCCCACCCCGCAGAGCGCGGCCGAGCGCTGCGGTGCCGCCGCGCTGGAGAGAGGGACGTCGCGGTGCTGCCGAGGGAGCCGCAGCCCGTGCGGGGAGAAGGGTTTGTTCATGCATCTGCAACGCGGCTTGGGCGCTGCTCCTGTCCATGGGCTGTGTGTCTAGTCCAGGCTGAGCAGGATCTTCTGGGAAAGATCCACCTGGGACCTTGGAGGCTGCGTATACCTGAACTCTCTTAAAAGACGAGTGCTGTAGTGTTGTGCTTGGGAGGGGTAGTTCTCAGGACTGGCTAGCGGGAAGTGAAGCGCTGCTGTCCGTGGAGCTGAAGGTGAGGGTGTGGAAACGTGGCTGACCCGATCGCGGGTGTTTCTTGAGGCCTTTCTTAGTTGTGCAGCCCTGGCTGGGGGTTGGAGCCTTAAAGCTAATAAATACAACTACTTTCATAATTGCCATCTGCTACAGAGGCATCTTCACCATACAAGTAGATGTGTAAAACACTACAGACTTAACGAACTCCAGAGCTGTTTCCACACGTGATAGAGAGCAGTGTGTTCAATTAAAAACCATGGGTTGTCGCACTGCCTCTCTGAGCAGCCAGTGTCAAGTTCATGTTGGTGTTGTAGAAGATCACACAGCTGGACTGGAATAAAAAACAGAGGAAAACAAGCAAGAAGTCTCTCTGATGCAGCAGTTCCTCTTGGTGTTTTGTTTTTGTTTTCTTCAAGTCAGATACAGTGGGAAAAGCTCTGGCTTTGAAGCAGCAGTGTCCTGCTCCAGGTATTCCTTAAAGGAATGCAGAGAAGGTGGTTAGAGGCCGCTCCCTCAGGACTTTGTGAACACTCTTTTAGCAGAGTTGTTTGAGATGGAGGTGTCAGTCACACGTGTCCAGGCCCAGCTTTATGCCACTCATTTCATGGCTTGTGCTACCAGCCTTGGATGGAGAACAACGATCTCAAACCAGAGCAAAAGGAGGTAAAAAAATATTCAAGGTAAGTTCCAAATCTGAACTGCCTCATCTCTTGCAGCAAAGCGTATGCTTTATCTTAAAAGCACCACTTTATTCTATGGGTAGCTGCAGCCTAGAGCCTGAAGTTGACTGGAGAAAATAGCAGGAAATAACTTCCAGGTTTCTAGGATTTTATTTTTATATATATACACACACACACACACACACACCACATTAAGTCATTAATGTGTAACAAATGCTTCAAATCTGTAGTTGGCATACTTCAATAAATTATATGAATTCCTCTCAGCAGCCCCTGTGCCGCCTGTTTGCTCTGGGCAAGGATGAATCCTGCCTTTCTCGCCTGAGCCATAAAAGCAGCCTCAGCTGGACCCACTCGATCCTGCCGCGGTACAAGGGCTGCGCACCCTTCAGTGCCCGTGCTGGGCCGTAGCACCGGTGTGGTTACGGAAAACAGCAATTACCACTCTGTATTCACGTCAAAGCAGCCCAAATAGATCTATTGGGGTGCGAGTATGCATATTTAGCACCAGTTTATGCAGACTTACAGGTGCTGCATTTCAAACCCGCTGCAGCCGGGTGCTGAGCCCTGCCTGGCTGCGCGTGGGTCTGGGCGTGCAGCTGGAGCGACCCGGTGCACATGTCCGGCTTGGGGGGGAGCTCTGGCCCATGGTGAGGCCGTGTGTGGGGACAGAGCCGTGGGGCGGCGCGGGCTGCAAACCCTGGAGGAGACGGGTCCCCCAGCCCTGGCAGCACCAGCTCTGCCCGCAGTTCTGCCGACGTGGTCTGTGTGACAGGGCTGCTGTTCGGTGAAGCTAAGGCAACGCTGGAGAGGTGGGTGCGAGTGCTCAGCCAGGTAAGAGGTATCCCGTGCAAGTTACTGCACCGTCTGCATTGAAACACGTGCTGCAGCATCTCACTGGTGTGTGCAAAACCATGCCCGGCTGTTCCATCACCTCGTGAAGGAAGCGCAGTTTATTTTTACTGCATCGAGGGTCAGTGACCCTCCATAGGAGAACACCGGCGTCAGAAAGGCAGTTGGTGGGAAAACGGAGGTGGGGCTGCAGTCCAGTTCGTAGTCCTGGCCGGCGCCGGTGAGGGGCGCTAGCACGGCCGAGGGCAGGTAGGCTGGGGGTGCTGGAGCGGGGAGAGCCAGGTAGCCCGAGGCGGGTGGCGCTTGTCCCGGAGCCTCCCCCACTATCCTCCTGTACAGGTACGGGAGCTGCTGCTCGTAGCCGTCTCCATCGGTCATGCCGGGTAGAGGCCTGTACTCGCTCTCCTGTTTCTCAAAGCTGCTTTCCAGGTGCCAGTCCTGGTTTCCGCTGCTATCGGTGCAGCTGGGGAGGGCCCTGTCCTGGAGAACGGGAGCGTCCGTCTTTACGAAGGTCTCCTCCACCTGGGTTATGTTGGGCTCTTCGAAGCTGCTCACGTTGGGTAGAAACGGACTGGGAGGTAAACTCAGCTCACCCTGGTGTATGGGTACACACGCAGCAGTGATGAGTAATTACGCAGTCTTCTGACCCCCCCTCAAAATGCAAATATCTTTCAGCATTACATGTAATACTGCCAAGAATGAAAAATCTCCATATTGCCGCATTGTTTTTGCATTTGCCTGATAGATAACCACAACCTCACATAAAAGTTGAATTAAAAGATGCAGCTGTTATCTACTCTCAGAAAATGCTGGATTTGCTACACTGAGGTATCGCTTTCTTACATAACTTTTATATATATATATATATAAATAATAATAGATTTATTTTTTTTTTTAATTTGAGAGTGGTGGAATTAGAAGAAAAAACAGTACAATTTACCTTCGTAGAGGTGTAGTTCCTAGCCCACGAAGCATTAGCAGGGCTGGGAATAGCTTTGCTGTACCACTGAGGCACAATGACAGAAAGGAGCACGCGTAACCTGCAAATCAAAGGTAATTAAAACATGAATGCCATTACCTTGCCAATATCTGCAAGTGTGAGTGAGCTGGACCGTGTTGTCCGGCCATTTAACATTGGCTTCCTTTTTAAATTATTTATTTATTTTAATGCTTATGGCCACTAGTATGAGTTGAGGACATACACTATTGCACTGCCCAGTCGTTTGTGTCTCCAGGTTTTACTCAGTCCAAGCCTTTTTGACAGAACTGAACCTCAAAAATTAGTACCATCAGGCTGTGGTCTGAGGCTTGAATTTCATTTCCAGGGGATTTACCAAGGATGGCACCACTTCTGTTTCATTTTAGTGGCCAGGATTTAGGGTTCCACTTACCATTTCCTAACGTGTATGAAATACATAAACATATTTTAAGCACGGTAGGTGTTGTGATTCAGTCATGTAATCTGAAACCTTTCGTGAGCCCAAGGCTCCCTCCGCCTCAAGGCGTCCTGGAGCCGCCCGCAGAGCCGCTCCGCGCCCGCAGCTACTCACGCCTTCCGCGCGGGGGGCAGCGCGCACACGCAGGCCGGGAGCAGCACCACGCAGCAGGCGAGCGCCACCGTCACCCAGTCCGCAGCACCTGAAACCCACAGCACCTGCTTGTGATCTGCATTAACAAAGCAAACTTTTAAATGGGCTACTTTAAACTGGCTAAGGGACATGGTTTGGCTAGTGTTTGCACTCATAAAACGTACCAGAACTGTTTTTTTTTTTTTTTTTTGGTTTAAAACCTGGTATCTGGAGGTAACAAATGGTATTTAGGAAAAATGCTTATTTTGTAACATAAGAATTTCTAACACTATCTCCTGTGATATTTAGTCCAACTCCCACAATATGCAATTGTTGATCCTCTCTAGTACTGAACTTACCACTGGTAAATAGCCCTGGGGTGATGCATGCATCATGATGATGTTAAATAGACAAGATTTTACAAAAACAGTAAATGTTTAATAAACTGTATCAGTGATGAGCATTTTTTTTCAGTGGGCGTGTTGGCTTTAAGGGACTTGCACTATCTGTCTTCTTAACATGGAGCTTTCCACAAAATCCATATTTCAGACTGCAAAAAAAAAAAAAAATCGAGGCTCATGCTCCTCTCCCTTGCCTGCTCCTGCCGCCTTGAGAAAGCTGCTCAGATGGTTACTCGGAGAAGATGGGCTCCAAGAGGGGCCAAAAACAGCTGGACGGGCACAGCTTGGAGCCTGAAAACCAAATGCTTTTCCCTGGCTGCATGTGGGTCAGCTCAAACCAAAGTCGTGACAACTACTGACAGCAGTTTTGTTTTGCCGTGTTAAAGGTTAGTCCCTGCCTGCAATAGACAATTATCCTAGTCTTAAACTACTATTCTTAAGTATACAGCTAATATTTTCTTGGCAGAAAAGTGGGAACTTGATGACAAAAGAAGATGCGTTATGTTTTAAAAGCAGCTGCAACCTGAGTTTGGCAGTAATTAAAGAGTAGTGGGTAACGAGTTTCCACCGCGCCAAGGGGCAGGACTTCTCGGGGTCCTGCCTCCCCGCCGTGTCCGTACTTTCCAAGCAGACGAGCTCGCTGTTTCCCCGGGGACTCTCTCCGGCAGCCGTTGACGCTGTCATCCACAGAAAGTAGTTCTGGCCGTCCTGGAGGTTGGCGATGTAAAACGAGCGCTGGGCAGCCACGTTGTGAACGGCTGCAAGGAGAGAGGGAGAAGCAGAGGAGCAGCCGGCACGCGCTCCCGGCCTGCGTAACCCCCAGGACGCGGCTTCCTGCCTGGGGGGCCACATCAAGCTACCCTCACTATAAGGACGCAGACACTGTTCTTCAGCCCTGTAAGTCTCGGTCTCTGGTATTCTTGCAGCACGTTTCCCTGCATGATTTGTGTGCTGAGCAGCTCCTGTGTCTCTGTGTGTTCTCTTACGAGGCTCAGGTGATTAAAAAAAAAAAAAATCACCCATAGGCCCAGCAGAACCATTATATTTTCTACTGAGCAGAACTGCAAGTTTCTCTAAGGAGTCTGGCTTCTTTGAACCTAGAAGATGCTGCAGACAAAAGAAGGGCTTGTGACCAACAATGTTGCACCCCTTCATGCACTCACGGTATTTTTGTCACAATTAATACTTAGCAACTATGCTAGTTTAAAAGTGTTTCTGGTAGGTTAGTTTTAGTAGTATTTGTACTACTGTATGGTATATGCATCTAGGCACATCTGCTCAGTGTGTTCTGGTTGGAATGAAGTTCTGTGCACTAAAAGCAGTGTAATGATTTCTGGACCCAGAGGCCAACTCTCCTCTTGTCCTTCTTGCAAAGTCAGCAGACTGATTCCCAGTCAATAACCATGCACTGTCTTCTGGAGCCTTAACAAGGCAGCTGGAGCAGGTAGGGACCAGCTGCTCCAAACCAATGGAAAATCCACTTTAGTCAC